TGGCAGTGTCTACAAAGAGCGTTCTGCTGGTTTCAGTTATTTAACAAGCTCAGCGATAAGAATAAGCACTTTTTCTATAGAAGCGAGCCAGCACCTTAAAAAGCGAGCACACATTATGGTGTTGATGAACAAAATGTAGGGGAAGACGTCTTTATAATTGCGAAACCAAATTACTTGGAGTGTAGATCAAAAGGATCGCAACCAAAGCAATGAACTTAGCCAGAATTTTTCGCTAATTAGGCGACTATTTACAGGGGCTGAAATTGATAAAGACACTTACAAGTTGAAGATACTCACGGACGAGTTGCACGTCAGAAGGTGGCGGTGCGTCGAGTGGCGGTGGAGCAAAAATGGCCGGGTTCCACATGGCCGCACGGGCAATCATCACACCTGCCGCACCTGTCGCTTGACGGAAGAATTCAATGTCTTCGTACAGGCGAATTGTATCCCTGGAGCCACCGCTGCAGGAGAGGTGAAAAAACAGCCAAATTTAAGGTGGAATTCATGCTTTAACACAACATTTCCACTTCCACGCAGACGAAGGTTGGTGGATCTCAAGCAAGCCAAGTCATTTGTACACACCGCACCCATCACAATGGTTACAAACGGCTTTGAGCATTCACTTCAAAGCAATGCAGTTGCTTATGGACTTCCGCATCTTAGTCTCTACAGAGTTAGTTTACCAATTCACCTAATATGCTAGAAGTAGTGGGAACCCACATTATAGAGGCCGATGAAAAAGGACTTACAATCTCAAAAAATCCTATATAAGCTTTCTAGAAATTATTTCATTCCACCTTCAGGGGACACGTGTCCTACGATTATCTTAGAAAATGGTGTAAATGTTCGTGAAATAACTGTGACGTCCTACTCAACATCGGATTTCGCGCATTTGGGAATCATTTACTGAAACCATATGTTTAATATGTGTAAAGTTCTACCAAAATTACTTTATATTCCCACCTTCACCACAGACAGCTCATCCAGTGAAATCTCAAAACCACTGCAATGATTCAGTGATTATAAGGGGAAAAGAGGAAGACGCGCTATTGCCAAACAACTCGAATGAATAGCTCAGTGATCCGCCTTGCAGGACTGGAAAAGTAAATGAGTTAATTGACCCGAATGTGGAGAGTTCACCACGCGTGCCATGATCAAGAAACAACAGTTTTTTTTCAATAACCATTCTCGAAAACTACATCACTTTAGCAAGTCATACATCCACTTTTACGCCATGCAAACAAAAAAGTACGTAAAATTGCATGGCTAAAAGAAGAAATGTTGACCAGAAGTCAATGGACCAGTTGGTAACACAAAGGAAACCGCAGTACTAGTACCATATCGACGAAATGAGAGGGTAATACGATGCACCTTGATTATATCAATAGGAGGCAGGCACTTTTTAATAAATGATTTTGCAGCTAATCGTTGAAGGATTTAAGCAAACACCTGCTAATTTCTTATCAAAGGAGTTAGTAAAAAACTCAACCCCGTTCACAAATACCTGGAGTTCAATACGCTTTTGAGCAAGAATAAATCATATGGCATTGTCTAAAGTACTGTCATGCAGTAAACTAAACTAACGCCAAGTGATCAGTGTAATAGACATAGAAAACGGAGAGAAGACACTCACTTGGCGAGGATCGGGGTTTTGATAGCTTGGGAGATGGCGCGAATGACGTCGTCGTGATTGGGGTCACGCGGACGCTCTTCGCGCGTCCGTCCGTGAACCGCTATCGCAGCCACGCCTGTCGAGTCGATCAGACGCACCAGCGATAGCGTTTCCTCCATCTGTAACGGCGAGGAAATGAAGGAAGTTAGGATTCAACGTGTTTGTAGTAGGTAGAAATACAGACGAAAAAGACAAGAGCTTTTTTTGGAATTGGTTAAAATAAAACGCAGATACGTCTCCAATTTCAGCTGCTTAAAACGACCAAATTGGCAAAATGCTGCACAAAATAGAGCACAAACTTGGTAACTGTAAAAAAAAAGCGGTAAATTTGCTTCTGAGATTCATTCTATATGAGGAAAGACAAGTCCTTTCAGTTCAAAATGTACTCGAAATCCGAGACCAAAATTGCTTGCATTTTCGGTAAACTATTGGAATCATTCCTGTGCATCGAAAGGCTATCAGTTTTGGACCAATTAAACACCGTTATGAAGACTTGAAAAGAAGGTAAATCAGTAAGGCTGTATCCTAAATCAGACAGGGTGTGTCAGTGTATACATTTGACTTCTTTCAATTCTCAAAACGAAAAGAATTTAATGTACCGTATAAAAGACAAAGAAAAAAATGTCTGTTATCACGATGAAATTGCTCATGTGCTCAAATGTATTCGGGTAATTTAATAATTTCCTATTACAGAAATATACGTAACTTTGTGGGAATACGCAACAAATGAATGACAAATACTTAGATCACCAATAGATATAGCCTATGAAACAAGCATGAAAGCTCCCAGCAATATAAGAAACGGCAAAATCGCAGAGATACAAATGTTGCCAACGTACCGTGCTAAGGATCCTTATCTTGCAAGTCACGGGGACACGAAGGAATTGAACGAGTTTGGTCAGAATCTAAGACGAACAAAATACGGTCACCCCCCAAACAACAATTGCACCTCATTCAGTCAAGCACTTAGAGCAAAGGGCTAAATATCTGCTGGATTCTAATTCAAAATAAAATTAACAAAAAATTAGTGCTGACCAACCTCATGGTTTCGCATCACTTTTGTCCAGCGACAAGATATTTACATCTATCACAGCGATTATCCATGCAATTGTAATAACAATTATCTGAACGTGTGAGGATATCAAAAGATAAGCCAACTAACGGTTTTTATCTTCTCCGGATTTCGTAGAAGTGCAGCGCCCATACCACCCTGGAAGGAAAAAAACAGCTTTTAAACAATACGTCTAATCATGTGAAGGGTAGGAAAATATGGGACTGAAAAAAGATAGACTCAATGATTAGATAAATGATTCAACCAAAGGACCAATTCTACCTTCCTATCAAGTGCTCAACAATTTGAAATGAGGTTACGTCAAAAATGGGATATTCACCTATAATGCCTACACTTTCACAAGAAAATAACCGAAATAACACTAAATGAAAAGGCGAAGATCTGTCCAATTAATAAATACCTCAAAGTGTCGAAATCAATTGATAAAAAGCAATATGCAACTAGTTATCACATGAAGAAGTAACGCACTTTGATGGAGTAATACTTGGGGCAGCCCATATTTACATCGATTGCAGCGACATCACCTTGACTGAGAATAAAGGTGGGGGAATAATAAACAGGACAAGATGCAAATTCTAAATCCAGCTGAAGTCGTATATAAACTCACACCTTCTGTGCAGCCATCAGAGCTCGTTTAGCATCCGCTGTACCCTAAGGAAAGCAAAAGGAAGTGCGTTCAGCTTCTGCCCGATTGGAAATGCGGAGTGTCAAGCTGAGAATCGCACTTACCAGCTGAAGTACGACTTTGCCCTTCTCCTCGGTCGACGTACGGAACACAATGGAACCATCATCGTAAACATAATCAACGGTTCCCAGTTTCTCTAATAAGGCAAGATTATAATGATATGCCTGCCCGTGTGTAGAAAACAAATGACTGTTACTCAGGCATTTCAGACTCACTGTTTTCCAAGCGGGTTGTTCTAAGAAGTTTGTAGTCAATTATTTCCTGTAAGGAAGAGAAAGCAAGTTAGTGTAACCAAACGAAGCTACCGTAGTTTTGATTCTGCATTAGCTAACAAGACGCAATATCGCTTTCGTGAAAGCAAACATACCTCGGTGTAGACGTACGTGGCGCCGTAGCGAAGAGCGAGTAAACGCATTGGATGCGTAGAGACGCGGACCATAGGAGCGAGAACGATGGCTCCGTCGAAATTCATGGTTTTCTATGGAGAAAACAAAAGGACGAGGCTGGAATTGGAACAGAAAGCCCGTAGTAGGAAGTTGGAGAGAACAGCCTGGGGCAAAAGCTTTATTAATTTCGACAGTATTTACACATTGATCCCCATATCATCCAAAACAGACGTAAAACGACAAAAGATAAAGGTGGAGATGACAGAAATAGGTTCAGTAGATTTTCGTTCGCTGGAAGGGCACAAACATCAAAGATGGATAAAGCTTTTGCACAAGAGTGTACCAGCGCAGAGCACCACACAGCTTCTCCTTCTCTTCAAAGGACATGCCAAACTTAAATAGAAATTCAAAAACCCATTCACCCCTACCAAATGATCTTCGATACATTGAGCGATAACTATATCGATGCCTTTTAACGAGTTGCCAGTGAGGAACACACGCGACAATAAGTCCTCCGAAAGTGCCTGAAAATATTCTAAACAAGATTCGGCATGTACCGTAAGTTGACTTTTCTGATTTGCTTTATTACCACTAAATCCGACAAATTTTTGTTTCCACTCGAGATACTGATAAGTTAAAGCCTTCTCGTAGTCGTTTGTAGCTTAAAATGATTATACAGAATATTTTACCTCTTAGAGAAGGATTTTTAAGCGAAAGAATATTCAACGTCTCTAGATCTGCCGAGACCATCAAGCAGCCGGGACCCAATTAGCTAACGAGGTACCAAAGCCTATCAATCATGCAGACCGCACGCGTGCGACGGAAATTTGAAACAAAAATTAAGATGCGTAAAGTAAGTAGTCATTGACTCATTAATAAAAAGCAGTTTTCTATCTGGAAACAGAAAAACATTTGTGTAGGGTTTCAATAGTCATTTTCGTTTCTGAGTGCTAAAACCTTCCCTGCCTGAAAGCATGTATTATTGTCGCTTTTGCTTTGTAGCTTTCTAATCAATTGTAATCTTGTCTATTATAAGTTTTCCATAATATTATAAGCTTATTGCTGCTCTTAAATAATTTAAACTTACAAAAAACTCAAATGTGCTCTTTAATGGCGAAAATATCTGACCCGTGTTTCAAAGTTTGATACCTTTATAGCCTTACAGTTACGAAAACCAGTGGATGTATGTTTGTAATATACGCTTTATCTCATGACCTTGAACTTGCCCCCCGCGAGCGGTCTAAGACAGTGGTTGACTTCGACTTTTCGGAAGATATGACGGCAAAAATGGCAGGTAAAATGGCCAAACAGCTTGCGGGGAGTGGAACTGGTCAGAGTTTCATGGATAGAGTTACGCAAGCTAAATACAGCTTAGCTGGATCTGCTTTGGGGAAAGTCGTTGCTAAGGCTTCAACAGAAGAACTGATTGCCCCCAAAAGAAAGCACTTGGAAAGTAAGACAATGCTTCCTCAGTTCCATTGTAGATCTGACAAGACTGAGTAATGAACCAAGTGTCTCTATACCCCTTCTTGTCAACTTCTTATCCGAAAGAACTCGTGAAAAATCCTGGGTTATTGTATTCAAGGCACTCATAACTACGCATCACTTACTTAATTATGGGAATGAGGTACGTGTTTAATGAGGTACACTTTGTAGAAAATCTCACAATACATGGCTTCAAACAACTGTCGATTCAACCTTCCTCATTTTAATGATAAATCGAGCTCCCAATGTGAGGTATTTTGTTAGATTTATGAGTGATAGCTTATGAAATGTCGCTTTTCATCCGCAAGTATTCAAAATATTTGGCTGAAAAAACGGAGTCATATCAGAAGATGGCGTTTGATTTCTGTAAAGTTAAGCGTGGGTAAGTTGTGTTCGCGTCAAACTGAGGACCATTTTAGACTTGTTAAAGTACGGAGATTTTATATTTTACCGAAACTAATTGTTTGTATGCTTATCCCATTTTTCACTCATCAGGTGCTAGCATTAGTTATGGGTCTTGAGATTACATATTAGCTATTATTCCTATCAAATTATTGGCGTCTTGTAGAGAATCACACATCGTCTATTTTTTTTATTTGTAAAATGTTTGTGAATATTTGGGGATGCGAATTAATAAAATCGAATGCTCTGATTTTAGTAAAGACGATGGTGTTATGCGTACTATGCCAGCTGATAAGGTGAAGTATTCGTAAAACTCTCACTAGCACCACGTGCTACATTGGGTGTCGTTTGGTATTGATTGTTGTACAAGTGAATGCTTTCTACCTTTTTAACTTTTCGTTCTTATTAATTCATGCTGATTATAGTTATTGAAGGTCCTACCTGTTCTTCGAGATCAACTTTACGTTCTATTTAAGTTCGAGGTATGTTGGTTACATTATAAATGTTAAACGTTATCGAATCGCAAACCTAATATCTCTTTGTGCCTTAGGCTACCGAGAAGGATCTCAATAATCTGATTATTAATGCAGCATTCATCCTACTTTATAAGGACCTCATACGGTTATTTGCTTCCTATAACGAAGGCATGATGAATCTCGTTGGTGAGTTTCTACTTATAGTGCAGTCTGATTGGTTAACTTTAAAATGGAATATTTTACTTTTACTACAGAGAAATACTTTTCAATGAAACCTTCTCATTGCAAGACAGCTATTGAACTTTATCGGGATTTTCCTAATGTGATGTCTAGAGTTGATGAATTCTTGACAGTAGCAGAGGTGAGTACACATATCCTTGAAAGTATTAACATTTCAACTATCAGTGACGAGTGTTTTGATGTTACATTTTCACAGAGTCTTGGAATTGGGGACAAGGAATCGATGGGATTACATCCTGTAAGACACTTCCTCATAGGCATCCTTTTTTCTGGTTTGATGTCTGGATTTTATCCGACTATCTGCCTACCGAAGGTGCCTCCGCAAATACTTGAAGCAATGGAACAGCATCTTGCTCTTCTGAAAAAGAAGAAGGCTGGGTAAGATCGTTTTCGTCCAGTTAGCTTTACATTGTTTTGTATATCATGATCCATGGATCTCCTGCCCCTTTTATAACCAGTCAATCACGATTTTTGTCATTATTTATCCTAAAATGAATTGTCTCAAATTACACAGATTTGTAAGATGCTGGATGTCTTAAGGAGTATCCAAATCATGTAAAGTTATTAAACAATACTTTCTAAGTATGGCTATCAAAGTAATTCGGTCATATCCCGATTAGAAGGTTATCAGCACGTTATGTTCCTCTTAGTCATCAAATGTGTACTAGCATTTTTGCACTAATTTTGTATCAAATTCGAGTTTTGCGTTAGAAAGTGAAAAGTTATCCACAGCCTACAGTTCTGCTCGTTTTCTTTTCCAGTGTCATTCTCACGACAAATGGAAAATATGCGAAATTTCCTGAATCGAGATACCCGTGTTGCCTTTGCTTGCCTATGAAAAACTACATATGAGTGAAATATAAATTAAAATGCCGACGTGGCATGTTTTGAATTGCTGGGATGTTTAGTAGCGGACAAATTGGAAGTCCAAGTACTCATTGTGACTTAAAACCATGTTTAAAAGAGCAAAGTTAGCTAGGCCCTTAAGAGTGACCGAATCTTACGTGATTTACTTACAAAGAACCTTAGTTGTGTTTAACTTTTCAAAATGCGTATTTTCAATCCCACTGTATTTATTAACAGAGACACGTAGTGTTATCGGAAAATGGAATGGCGGCTTTCCTTGATCCATTACAGCCTAGATTCTGTTTTCTTTGAATATCTAATGGCGGAAATTGGCTGGTACGTTATCCTTTCAAATGCTGTTTAATGTCAGCATTTCTGCCATAAGCTAAAGTGCCGTTTTTCCCGCCGGAGTTAAGGTGCATTTTGCGTTTGTTTTCCCATTGGAAAGTACCGACAGCAGGGAGAAACTGAAAGTAGGGGCGATTATTAATGATATGGTAAAGAAGTAATGGGGTGTGGTGTTTTTTATTAAAAAAGGAGAGTTTAGTGGAGGGGATCCCTCTAAATTGCAAAAGTAGCCGACGTCCAAGTGATTACCTCACTTCGCGCCTTAGCAACGCACAATCCTGCACACATCATGAGGTCTGACCTACCCTACCTCAGAATTGCCTTGCAATTCTCAATCTGTTTACCAAAAAGTTTGTCATTTTAAGCAGTAACATGAAAATTTCGAATTCCCTGAAATTTTGGTGCCATTACTTCCCTTCCCTTAAGAAACTCTAGACGAAGCAATGGGAGATTTTCATGTTCACAGTTTGGCTGGCTGTTGTTTTAAATATGTTCAAGAACTTAACTAAGCAATAATATAAAGTTAGGTGTAAAACTATCAATTTTGGGATATCATGGCAGCATGTTAACCCCAAGACATAATTTTAAACTATATCTAAATAACTTCTTATACATTTTAATGCCATCTATATCATAAGTTTTGGATGTATTTCCTCGTGAAAGGAGCGATTTTCAGTGGCATGAAGCCTCGGCACATCCTCTTTTTAACGCATTCAAAGGGACGTTGACTATCGAGTCTAATGTTTCCTCAAAATTTGCCTTAAATGACCTCCTTATTTCCCCATTCTCAATTTGTCAATGAGCGTTAATTTGTTAGCACGAGAGCATCATTGTGGATGAAATAGAGGTTTTCCAAGATTCGCTGCAGTTCAACTTGCGCTCAAATTGGTTCAATGTCACCACTGGTTTTTGAAAGCATAACTTGTATATGCCTGATATGTTTAAGATTAAACATAATCTTTTGTCAGTAAGGTGAAAATCCGACGTGCCTGTCACAATAACTCGATTGGCTATTTGGGTTTTAATGGAACCCAATGTAAATATATGCGTAAGTATTAAAGGTGTAACATTTCATTTTGAACAAATGCTTTAAGTTCTTTCTTGGTTTGTTGCATAATGTTTGTGCTGGAAATTTATTAGATGGTGTTGAAAGTGGAGTCTAGCCTTCTTTTTTTTCGTATTATTGCAGCGAAGATGCTGATATTGACGATGTGGAGGAGGTGACAGCGGTGGCTGCGAAGCCAAAGGAACCTGTAGCAAAACCACTGTCACCGGCATCGAAATTGAAGGCCAGTGCTTCCCCGGCTCGGCCGAAATCACCCACCCGTCCGACCTCATCACCGGGTGCAGTGAAGCAGGCCACATCAACAGATCCAGCATCTACAGCCAATAGTCTCCTAATCGCCGACTTCGTCGATACGGTGGCGGCTGACGAGACGAACGCCCAGGCGGCCGTAAAAGTGCCGCCTGCGGAGGTCGTAATCACGGGTCCTGATGGCGAATGCACCGAGCCTGTAGAAGATGAAGAGCAGACGGTGTTGGAGGAGGGACAAGAGGAGGAGCCGGAAAAGGAGGAGGGTGTGAGGGAAGAGGAGAGAGAGGAGGATGAGGACGGAGGTGAAGGAGTGGGTAAGCGAGACTATAGTTGCATTTCACTCGGTGACGCCATCCGTGCCTTACTGCTTACTGCCCTCTTTAGGCCATTGATTTTAATAGAAGCGTGTTTACAAGGTCTATTGCGCTAACTACTTTTGATGCTGAAATACCAATGGAGATAGCCTAATTCTAAGGCGCTTTATTCACTGAAGTTGTGTTAACGGAACTTAATATAGGATATTCGGCGTTGTTTTTCCTATTTTCCCCATATAGTCGTGAATTTATGCAGCATGTCTTTCTACTTTTTTGTTGATGCTCTTGACCTCTACTTCAGCTGCAGTCATCTGTTCTTTTTGTATTTTTCCATTTGATTGCGGTATTTAATCCTTATTTTTTGATATGTGGGTCTTATTTGGTTGTCTGAGTCGTTCCGTAGAAGTAGATTAGCAGAAAATTTTTAGACATTTTTAACCCTAAGAGTTCAACCTTTGGAGTAGTTCAAATCACTTTACGGTCGAGTGCTAATGTTCTTGGTGATTTTAATTCTTAGGACTGTCGCCTGAACAGCAACAGGCCGTTATTGCCGCAGCAACCATTCATTTTGTCCAGTCAGCAGATCGCACCAACCAAGCAGTAAAACACTCGGTAACTCTCACCCCGCGACAAACGCGGAAATCTTGGTTAGTGTCCTTTTTTTCTAGTTTGAAGCAGCGGTTCTTGGAGCTTAATCACTGAATCTGGTGGTTGAATTCCCATCTCACTGGTGATGTTTTACGGGTTTTACATCTATTTTACCAGTATTGTGTTATAGAGGTTTGTGATTCCATTTTTAATGAAAGCTAAACACTTTTGCGATCTTGTATGTTAGCAGGATTTACATATAAGATTGGTCTCATGAGAGAGCTTTAAAACTGCGCTTTTCGTTTGTCGAAAAATTTGTTTAAAAAACTGTTGTTAAATGCGTGCGAAATTCCAGTTAAATGAGCTTTTACTTTTATTTTTATATATTCCTTTTAGGTCAAAAAAATTTGTCGTTTCGGGTTGCATTGTTGTTATATGTTCTATGGTTGTACGTCTTATTGTACACCAGTCGAAAGGCAACTTACGAATTTACATTTTGACTGATGATGCGTTAAGTCTTCCACATTTCAAATATCACTAGGCTCAGGAAACTATTATTGGGAATTAAGACCCCAACGTTAACTCTAGTCGAAATTTCACTCAAGATACCCTTTCAAACCACCACTCGACTGTCTTCCATATCATGGATATGACGTCAGAACTCAGTAATGGTAGCAATCGGTTGTTTGATCTTGAAGGAACGAATCAGGTAGTTCCACCCGCAGCGCCTCGCCCTCAAGGCGACGTAGTCCCTCACCTGCACGACCACCACCTCCTCACGCAACCTCACCCACCCATCTGGTCTTTCCCCATTCTGGTCGTTCCACCCCGGTTCACGACGATTCCGAACCTGAGGGTAAGTGCTCAATCTCCTCGGTCTCACGGAGTTCTTAGACTAGTATTTTAATTTCTGTGACCAGCTTCAATAATCTGGACACAGATGTTTGACGGTAATTCGAAACGGGTCATTGAGGTAGGACTAAAAACATCTCCCTTTCCTTAAAAATGTGGTAGATTTTTGTGTCACGGTAGTCCATTTGAAGCTTTAATGTATCCTTATTAATTAATTTTATTGACTGTGTTCTCGATAGAGGTTTTGTTAGACTCCATAGCAGTTCGGCAGTATAAAATCATTTCCTAATGCACGTCCAGTTTAATTTACGGTTTCTTCAACATTCTTCTAGATTTACTTTTCGTTAGCTCGATGCTTACCTAACATGCCTATGTTTAGGAGCAAGTTGGTCGTTTTGTTCTACTCACCTTATCGTTATATCATAAAACTGTAAAAATTTATCGTCTGTTGATAGTGAACTTGACATTTTATGACTTTTTGGCTTGAAAAAGTGTTCTTTTTACGTAGAGAAATTTAATTTTGGTCAACATAGGTTAAATCATATAATTATTTCCCAGTATTTTCATGTGATTACAAGTTTGTCGATGCTGTGTCAAAAAACACTGTTGAGCTTTCTTTTTATTTCATAATCTTATTAATTTCTTGTGATTTTAAAATGTATTTGATAAAAAGGGGTTTGATTAATGGCATCTTTAAATCTGTTGTTGAAGATAATTTACTTCAAATTTTGTGCAATTTTCCTTAGTCAATTTTAAAAAAGCTTCACAAATAAAGGAAAATATCATCTATAAAACTGCTAAAAACGCATATTTTCACTTGGGGGAGAAGTGTGCTTATATGGTCTGTATAAGATGCGTTTTGTAATAAACTGTGTTACTTTCAAGTGATACAAATTTTATCAAATTTATTTGGTAATAGATAAGACATACGAAAACGTGAAACATTTCAATCAGGACCGAAGTGTAGACCCTTTTTCAATCTTAAACAATGGAGCAAAGTATCTACCACCCCATGCCAATGCGTTGGGCTACCTACAAAACTGTCGATTCCTATCAAATGCAAGATATCGTGTTGAGATAATTGCTCCAACACCAATTAAATCGTAATGCTTAGTGCTGACGTTAAGTGTTGCGCGGACAATAAAGTGCTCTACACTCGAAATTCAACAGAAATTAACCCAGGTTTAGCTACCCTTGAGCAAAGAATAACAGCTTCTTTGGCTAAGACTATATTACAGAGAAGTTAGGATCGGAATTCACTTTCTCTACTTTTTTATTTCAGTAATTTAAGAAACACTTAGCATTTCGCAAACCTATAGCGGGTGGCTTCTGCCATCCTTGTAATCTCTGATCTGATTTTGGTTTCATATGCAATTTGCCCTTTAGTGGTATTACTGTACCCTTGATCCTCTACTGCCAATTCCTCTCTCCGGTTTGTTTCCTAACTTTCAACAAAATAAGAATCCCGATTTATTAATGGGGTTGCGCATCTTTTTATTTGTAAGCTTATGTAAGATTCCTAATAAATCCAATGCGCGGGATTGCTGCCTTGGTATCTGATAAACTAATAAATTTGCTTAAAATATTCAACTTTACCTTTTTTGGGCCTAGATTATTGAGATGAATCGTCTTAGTAAGTCATATTTTAGTTACTTAGCGTCACTGTTTTAATCCGGTTTACATTTGTAAGGGGTAAACAAGCACGATTTTTGATTTGTTTTTTGTAGTATTTTTAATAAAAGGATTTAAGGTTAAACAAATTTACAAGTAAGTTTTTTTCTGATTACCAAATAGTGAGCTAATTTTCTGCACGAATGACTGCTTTACTACCGAACACCGTGACATGTTTATCATTTTGACGCGCGTATTGTAAAAAAATTTGGCTATATTAGCTTAAATATCTTTGAAACCGACCTCTCAATTTGGGAGCAAAAATTCCATAAACCTGCACGCTTAAAAGTGCGAAACCTTAGCATCACTTTGATGTGTAGCAAAATTTGGCTCTAATACATTTCCAAAACTTCTCTTTGTTGGCCTCCGTATCGCGTAGGCAGGCCTGATTATGCACTGCTCTGTCAGTACCGAAGACGCGCCGAACGAGGCGGCATCGTGGCTATCGATCGTTTGAGAGCGAGAGAGGGCGGGAAGAGCGAGCGAAGGAGAAAGACTCCACGCGCGCGTCTGTGCGTCTTTGCTGGCCTTCCTTCTGTACCTCCCTTCGTGGGCATTTCGCTGGAAATCTCTGGATAGACGTGCTTATCTTTCCGCTTGTTTCACTGACTTATTCAGCCTGTTTTGCGTGACTTAGTGGCTTACACTTCGTTAGCCTTTCTGCTGGCTCCACTTAGTGTCTGTTCTAATTCTAACGAATCGTTTAATAAATTAGAAACTGAAATGGAATTGATTCGCAACTTTCATAAATACTCCCCCTTATTAAAACTCGAGATAACTGCGAGAATTTGCCTTCATGAATTCTAAACATCGCGTCTCGTCATTATAAAGGACCCAGCTCTCTGTTGACTTTATCTTAAATACGAACTCGAGTTAAATTCCATTAAAGTATTTACTGCCTCTTTTACTCAACCGTTGTTCCAGCTCATGTAAATTAGCTGATCATGATGGTGGATTAGTGTCTCTTCTTTTCAATCTGGGAAAAATTTTAGTTATCCAGTCTCATGAAAATAGGTTTCTGGGTAACTTTTTACATAAATTCAATTTCACAAACTTTTGCTTGGGATCTGTCAGGCTACACAGATGAAAAAGCTAGGTCCTTTTTTTGTTTGATTGGTTTGGACTTGAGATCCATTATTATTTGATTTCAAAAGTGGCTACACCTCGCAAATGCACTGGTTGGAATTGTCAATTTGTGCATCAGAAAGTACAAAGCTTCGTGACCAACCATCTGCCTTAACGCTATAAATAAGTCTCTACTGTTGGTTTAAGTACTTATAAACAAAATCTATCCCCATGTCCTTTAATAGTTCAGGAACGGTAGCTGCTGTCCTCATAGTCATAGTCTTTTCTACAACCTCTAAAATATTGAATAGAGTTAGATCTGGCTCTATTTAAGAAATAGCATGATTTATTAGGGTAGCTCCCATTGGGAGCGCAGAATTTGTAAATATTCTATACTGTCCGGAAATCGATTTAAAACAGTAGTTTATGGGAATATGATGGCTTGTGCAATACAACATCTTTATGAATACAATAATTGTAGTAAGTACAATCGGCTTCAGGCAAGACGTATTTATTTTTTGATTTCTGAACCCGTTATGAACCTGAATTAATTTACTCGATAATTATAGCGAATAATCAAGCACAGTTATTTGTTTTGAAATTGAAATGGATAAAACACCCCTCCCATTTCTTATAACGTAATGCGTGATTCTATAGTTTCACTCAATTTTTCACTTTCAAACAATTTCCAAGGTCTTTAGTGGAGTTCTTGTTAACGACTCTTTCATCAAAAGAGTCCACTGATAATGCTTCAGCACATCTCACATAAACTCCTTCACGTGGACGTTTTCCTGATGTTAAGGAGTCATAAACCGTCTTGGTCAACTAAAATAAAAATTGCTAAATGTTTTGCGTTTTGTTTCGTGGCAGTCATCTCAGGGTAAATGCTTATGTGAGCTCAAAACTGCCATACCCTCTGAGATATCCTGATGTAAGTAAATCAGGAATTCAACGGAAAACAACCAGAATAACTTAATGTAGCTTTAAGGTTTGCAAATATTTGTTGGCAAAATGGTAGGGATGCCTATAAATCAACCGTTTTTATAAGACCATAAACAATCCTGTCAGGTCTCTCTCTCGGTTAAAGCATAATTAAAGGGTGGAATTTTATGTTTTAGATGATTCGTGATTTTCTTTTGCTGATTTTGGTTCGAATATTCACCTTTTTAGTAACCTTCAAATTGCTTAATGATGTTGCTACTGGTCCAATTTACATAAACAAAAACGACCTTTCCTACGATTATTCCCAAGGGAATTTTAATTATTCTAATCGTATGTACTCTGCCCCTTCAAAATAGAAATCACGAGTCTCATTGTCGGGTTTTAAACAATTGTACCTACCTGGCACTTTGGGAAGATATATGCTTAATGTTACGTCAACCATTGTAGCTTCTTTTGCCATACCGTGTTGTCGAAGTGTATAACTAAATTCTCATTTGCTGTTTGGAAGTAAAAATGTGAAAACTGGGGGGTTAAAACAATCAAGTTACTGCTTAACCTATTTCTTTTGAGCGTCCTACTCAGCGTTCCTCTTAACCACTCTTCTGCGTCGGCATCGCAGTGTAGCTGGAGTTTCAAAATGCAATTCACAAACCATGTACAGCGGTCATTACATTACTATTGAGATTGGAAGACATGTGATCCCAATGCCATCCTTTTTGAACTATAGTGTAAGGAGGCTTCACCTATTCCTCATTACTTGAAGCTCTTTGATGCTCCACGATGCTACTTCATAAACCATTCACTATTTACGGAAGCGCTTGCCAAAATTAGGGTCATTTAATAAAAGACAACAGAGCTAGTATTCTGCATTTGCACTTTAATACCTTTTTTTTCATATCAATGCTGCCCATCCGCCTGTTTGGGTTCCACTTGAATAATGGAATCTCAGAAGAGGCATTCTTTGACTTGCGGTATTCACATTTCCTCATATGTAGCTTGGGCTGCCCCGTAACTGACGATTTTACGTTGTTTAGGATTTGTAACACTTCTGTTGTTGATTTCTTTCTTACATAACACGCGATCGGAATAAATATCGAAAGTTTTGCTCATTCGGTAACCCTAAATTCGTCCATCTTAGACATGTGCTTTCTTCTCTGTTGCTTATGTTTGATAATCATTGGGGGCAAATGTGATGGCTACTTCTACCAATGGTTAAACAAGTATCAAATTATTACATCTATAACTTTTTGCATTTAACGCTGGGGGGTTAAATTACGCTAAGGCCCATAGTTTTAATATTTTGAACTTAATTTGGTAGCACTTTGTATTTATTTCATATGTTAACCTTAGATACTGTATCATCCAAGGAAGGTCACGTTTCCGATGTTAAAGGTGAGTGCATTCGGTCTTCCGTTATGATTTTTTGAATTTGAACATTAAAGCAGCAATTATCTTTTTTGGTAGGTTTGATAATTTTCAAAATGTCTTTTATTTCCACTATATCGACTTTATCCTTTATTTCCTCTTTCCTGAACCGACTTTTCCGCTTCAGAGGCTTCCATCAAACAGAGTGAACCTCAAGTGCAACACAAAAATAGTGAGTTTGCTAGAAATAAGGCTTCTGCATTGCCCTTTTTTGTAACTTTAACTTTCCCTTGCAATTTTCATGAAACCTTTGTTTGAACTTAATTGTCGTATAGCTGTTTTTAACTATAACTTACTACTCCTTTAAAAAAGAAAGTTTTTAATTATGGAAGCTACCTTGTACAAAGTACAAATCTATTCTTCTATTGATGCCAAGTTTCAATTAAATGGTAGGCGAATAACCATGAAGTTTCAACCGCGGATTTATTTTTTCCATACTTATTTAAACAAGGAATATTGCAACAAATCAACGGATTTACAGTAACTTGGCAGTGAAATAGCCTCTTCAATGTCAAGTTCCGGTTTAACGACTAAAACGCATCATAGATGCTTTCGATGATCAGGTGTTGAGCTGAAAGTCTGGCACCGGGTCATTTGCGTAACATAATGTCAACCTCTGGGTAGCATAAAGCAATTGGTTTCTCTGAAGTGACTCATCTGATCCCGACTCTCACCCTCAAAGTTTTGCTTAATTCTTTGTGGGAGACATTCAATCCCCGTAAACGAATGAATATGTTATTGGGCTCAGACCTTTGACTAGCTGTTTGCTTGTTATCGGGGTTAAATCTAATACTAAGGGCACACTCTGCTAATGTTTTGAATCGTTCGCGTCACTTTCGTTCGACGACACAAATGAAAATCGGAAAACGGGTCGTTTGCATAAAACGGTGACAAGTATGCTCCTCTACTGCAACGCAAGGCCTAATAGCGGTCGTCTTAAAGTGCCAGATTTGACATTGACTCCGAAGTCGAGTTTTTCTTGCGAAATTTGAATGCTTTGTACCGAAGCGTCAAAGACAAACTTCATTTTGACTTGCAAGAAACACCCGGTTAGCCTCCATCATGCAAAGCCTCCTTTTGTTGATTAGCCTCAGCAGACGTGATCATCGACGATCTACTTGGTTTTGATGACGTTGTCCCCACCAGCCAGACAAGCCCTCCAGTTCAGCCTATGGCCGCTGCTCCTCAGCCTAGTCACGTTCCAGCCACGCAGTCCAAATCTCATACAGGTACTTTGCCCTTTTTCTGAGTTATGACAGCCAAAACTATCATTTTGTGAATAATCACCTTACAGAAGTGGTGGTCTACCAACTAATAAGTGAGCTAGAAATGTTCTTCTTTTTAACTGAGGCTATGGCTTCCTGCTATGCGAAAACTACATAATAAAAATGCTTTTTTTCTTAAATCGACCCCTCTTTTGATAACAGGAATTGTATTTATTTTTCAGGCATTTAGCAAAGTACTTTAATGCACTAACTTGGACATTTGTACATCAGTCTTTCTGTAAGATTTATCACCATAATCGGCTAAAGCCCTTCTTCATTGTCTTTTGGAACGAGATGATTCTTTCAGTCTGCAAAATTAATTTTGAATCCAATTAAATGAGCTACTCTGAATTCCTTTATATAACCTTACAGGTCTGCAGCCTTGTGCTAAATTGTCTTCAGGAAAATGCCTAGTTTACAAGAATTACAAGTATCTCTTGCTTCAAGCAACTCAGGTTGCGGACAGGGCGTGATAGGTCTATGTTCAATTTTACAGGTCATAGTCCATTGAAAATTTAGTTTGCCATATAGCCTCTTAAACTCATTTCGCCAAATTTGGCATGTTTCAAGAGGTTTCTGGCAAAACGACCGTTCTGCTGTTCACAATGATTGCTACGCAGTTCCTTTTTTAAATATTGTTTTTATTTTTTGATCATTTATAAATTAAAAGTGGTCTTTATCCAAAGCTGTCAAGGAAGTTGCATTTAGTTGGTTTTTTTGAAGTAGTTTGGGACTTGTTAAGTAGACTGTACTCTCCTTAAGAAAAATTTGATGCTGCAATTTTGACAAATCATGAATAAAACGAAAAAAAGGTGAAGACACCCGTTGGCGAGATTTTGTGTACTAATGAGTGTTTTTATAAGTTTGATATTATTTTAAGTTGGCTAGTCTACAGGGCAGCTAAATAAACCGAATGGTGGTTACCCATATGATCGGACACCTTAAATTAGTTAGGATTTGTCTCTGTGTTAGTTCATTTTCCTGTCCAATTTTATGGATCTTTGTTTCTGAGGTTTTCAGTCGTCTCTAATTTGGATGCAAAAGGTGATTTTTTGAATGGAAATGAATATGCGTCTACTAGCAGTTGTCGACATTGTGCATCGACGAAGTCTGTCAAATTATAACGTGAATCAAAAGTTATGATTTCGTGTTCATTTGAAAGCGTGAAGTTGCGCACAACAATCCAATTTTTAGCAGAGTTCTTACGATTTTCGTACGTGGTAATTCCTTGTCTCTAAATGATGTGGCTAACGGCATTCACAAATAGCATAAATTTCAGGAATTTTTAGGAAATTGATAGAAAAAAAGCCCCTGATTTGCCCGGGCACTATTGTCGTACGTAAAAGTAATTCGAATTTTGCAGAGGACAGTGCGCAGACTTGAATGCGTCGTTGATAATGCAACCATGATTGCTTCTGTTGTTTGAAGATTCATCCGAAGGAGAGATTGAGTAACTGGAGAGACTGTTGTTAGGATCAAGTGTAGGCAGTAGGTAATCGTACTAGGCACGTTAGTTCACTCATTTGCACGACAAGTGGGGCTGTATAAAGAGTCTTTGATAACTGTCTCCATTTAAATTTGGTTAAATGGAATACTTATTTCCTTAAGCACTGGATGATATTCTTTCACTGGATCCGCTCATGGGCAATGGATCCGATTTCACTGTTCCTGCACAAACTCCTGCGCCAAAGCCTGATAACACCGGCCTCCCTCCTGGTATGGTTTCTCGATATTTTGCCCAATCGACTTCCTCATTCCTTCGTGCAATCATTAGAATTTGCCGATCCTTCTACACCTTTTTCCCCTAACAGAACGGTTTTCGGTGGTTGTTTTGACCGAAAAGTTGGAAGTTTTGGAAACTCAAACTGTTGATTGTATTGGTCTGAGCTCAAATCCCCATAGGAGAACGGATATTTTTACTTGAGGAGTAACATTGAAGTTATGGACCTTCGTACTGAGTTTCCTATCACACATTTTTACTGATCGGATCCGAGAAATAGTGCAGTTTCGTACTATACATTGTTGCTTTTTCAATTCTTAACTCCTTTATTTAGATAAATTTAATAAATACGATTTCGAGGGACTTCCGTAGTAATTTTAATGGGAATGATGTTTGTACCAAAATTTTGCTGTATTTTTGTAAATGTGTTCCTTTCAAATAACAAATCTGATTTGTAATTACGGACTTTTCGGTAGGTGCTTGCAGGCAAGTGTTTATTTCACCTCTGATGTGATACCATCGGCATAGCGCTCCGACTCTTCCCTAAAATTGTAATAAGCCAGGGTAGTATGGAAGTATAGTCGACATTAATGTACAGAAGGGATGCAAGACTATTAGAATGGTCATGCCGCAGAGTGGAAATGCAACCTACGGGTACTGAAGTGACCGTAGACATGCAGTCAAACGAAATATCAAATTACTACATTAACACAAATTAGAAGCGGGATCTTGGTAAATGCTTTTTAATGTACTTCTACCTATAGTATTCCTTAATCACTTATTTACTATTCAGATTTAAATGCGCCTTGGAATGTTACAAAAATCGTATGTGCAAGCAACCTCGAGAAGTCTAAATTCCGGTTTATTCCGAAAAAAAATCATTTGGAATATATATACTTTGGTTTTTATTGTTGGAAAACGATTATCTCGATTATATTCCGGCTTGATTTCGATTGTGTTCAGCAGAAGGATGACCAATCTTTAACCTTCTGACAGAATAATGCTTTGATACCATGTACTTACTTTAATAGTTGGGGTCTGTGCTCCAGCTTGGAGTCAGACAAAACCAATATGTAGTGGTAAATTTTTTCGGGCCGCAAAATGAGAAACATTACATTTAAAATTGGAAGTTTGTTTCATCGTATTTCAGATGAATTTAGTGAAATCAGTCGAGGCTTTCACGAAATTCTCATTAGCGCAAAATTATCGGTGTCGAGTAGAAGGTTTATGCTGCTCATTGAGAAGCAAATTTTTTTCGTTGTTTATACGTGGTTTTAAATGCTGGCAAATCTGACGCTGGTTTTCATTAGCCGGAGTTAGTGGTAGATTGATTTTCCAACCACTTGTTCTGCTTTTTTGGTAAGTTTGTGGAGAGTACTCATGATCGAACTTTTCGTATCGAGGAGCTCCTTTCTCTGTCCATTTTTATCTGTTGGTTAATCATAAGCCCCCGTATTCGCTACTTAGTCCAGTTGTACCAGTAACTATTTTGCAGTTGATTAACCGAACTGTATCACTGCATGTCTCTCGTCAAGTGCAATGCTGGTGATGTTGGATTGGGCACTTTTGGTGTTTAGGCTGATCGGGCACTCAATACTTAGGCACATTTTTCCTCAGATGGCTTTCAAACGACGAATAACTAGTTCGAGGGATATTGAGGCCGTACAAATCAAAGCCTTTATGCCTTCGAACAACTAGGAGCTGAACAGAACTTTGATGAAGATTGCTTAAAAAGATAAATCAACTGAATTTAAAGCTGAACACCAAATAAACTACTTCAAAACATTGCATTACCAGCTCTTGAGAAGGTAATCAAGGAAATCAGTGTGAAAATACTAGACTGTGGCGTGCCATTCATCCCACGTTTTGCCTTTTTCGTTCACCAAGATAAGCATCACTCGATGTTGGCTGTAAGAATTTGGTGCTTCAGGAAAACCGAAATTTCTCCTTTATATATGGGAAGCGAGTCCCATAATTCTTGTCAGGGATGATACATAAATAAAAAGAAATTATTGCGTCAACTCTTAAATGCGGTCATGTACCTTCAAACACGTCATAGGCAATGCAGAATTTTTGCGGAGTTGAATTTAAAGCGTGACCTACGATTTTAAGCAGGAAGATTGAGTTGGGGAAAAAAAGGATCTTATTCACCCTGCCGTTCTAGCCCATTATTCCAGTAATTGTGAATGGACTTCTGCAGACTTACACTTACGATACAGATACCAGATCATGACGTGTTCTAGACCTTTTCCATTCCTTGGCCTAATTTTGTTCCATCTTCTTAACCGTAGGCTTGAAGCCGGCACCAGCGGATGTAGTGATTCGGCCGGCGGTGGTAGAAAAAGAGGCGCTTAAGAGGAAAGAGAACCCACTGGACCAACTGGACACCACTCTGGCCAGTCTTGCCTCGAGTTTGGGCGGCAGTTCGTCCAACTGGGGCAGCAGCTCGGCAAAGGTGCGTCTATATGTCCTGATTTCCTGCGCAAATAGTGTTCTTGAACTGCAAATAGGGTATGCTGTACCACGACTCGAGCGTTCGTGAGATGACAGTTTCAGTCACGTGATTAAGGGGTTGATGTCTTATTTATTCTGCAGTCACTGCCATTGAAAAATTGTGAAGTTTTACCGCCTCGTGATTTTAATGATTAATCGTTATTATTTCAGTATTGTTCAGTAACCTGTTTAATTGGCTTCACGTAGGGTACTTGAATTTTTTTCCGGTAAACTCACCTAGTGATAATACGCTTCATAGTCATTGCCAAGAGTTTGCGGGTAAGCAAAGAATTGGTTTTTTTTAAGGTCCTTTTAGGCGAATTTGAATGCAAATTCGAAATGCAAGATTTGCTTTGTAAACCACCTCTTAGTTCCTGGAATGTCTGACACCTGGTTATAACACCAGCCTATTCAAAATTAAGCTTGTTTGAACTAAAGCAAACTTTGTATAGTTTGGTTCTTTAACCGATTTCAAGGTAGCACTTCAATGCTGCTCTTCCAAAAGGGCCCTTCACTTCTCAAAGTCAACCAAAAAAGATAGGTCAAAAGTCGAAGGAGCTTGCAGTGTCTTTCTTCGATTTTCATACAGTCCGGCATTTTAAGGCTGTGAAATCGGTTCGTACACCAGTTACGACTCCGATAAAAGGACGTATGCACCACTTATTTTAGTAATCCTTTGTAAATGCTTTGCATTAACGTAAACCTCCCGTTGTGTACACTAAACACCTACAGCGCAGGGAATTTCACCTCCTGGACTATGAAATATTTCGCACTGCTGCCGCACCTCGACTTATTATCAACCGCTTCAATATGATGGTAAAATCTAATCGCTTAATTGTACAGAAGGTGATTTCGCAAAACCAGGTTGAATCGACTCCCATTTGCTTACGGTACCAGATTTGATATGAATTTTAATGGTACTTTAACTGACTAAGTAATATACTAAATTTCCTGTAAGCCCTATGACGTTTTTGCATTTTATGTAATAACCTGACCCTTTTTCCGTTTTGTTTCAGAACAAATAGGGCCCACCAATCACTTCAACAATGTTTTAGCATTCCACGCTTCATCAATGTTGTCTATCTTTACTGTGTAGTCTGCATCCAAATCATCCAACCACCGCGTCACCGCGACTTCCATCGTCGAAAGTTATCTTTCCATCGCAGTCTGAGACATAATACCTACTTCTACTTGAGCAGGTGCAGTAATAAAGGTTGCTCTTCCATTCCCTTCATTTATCTCCTACTCATATTTAATGATAAGCTGTGTCTGATAAGCTATTGTTAACAAAAGATTCTCAATGCTATTTTTGAGACAAGTAAAGACGAGAGTAACAAAAGTCGCCTGTTGAAATTTTCTATTGGCCCGATTAACGCCCTGCCACCTAGTCGCGTGTATTTTACCGATTGTGCGCCATGGACAAAAACTGTTACAATTTACATCACTCAATGTAAAATAAAGTGTTGAGCAGCAGTGATGGGGGATGTCAAAATTGAGTAACCATACCACCCAGTCATGATGCTGTTAAAAAGAGCCGTGGTCTAGGGTCATGTCACACTCCGTGGATGGTTTGTGAATCCGATACTTTCGCTAACATGCATATTTTGTCTGCAGAGCCGAAACGAAGCGAGCGCGATGTTGACACGTGGCAACGTGCAAGCTAGCCTTTCTGAGGAGGTTAACGTAACCCGTTGAAATGGAAGTCGAAGTGAGTGCGTTACTGAGAGCATCGCTTGAGACAAAATGTAAATGACGAGTAGGATCGACGACACCTAGGGTGGAGATGCTGTAATCAAGGAAAGCCATCCTCGTTACCCTCCCATGCTTGAAATTTCCAACAACTTCCTTATTGACCCAGCCCTTGAAGGTACGAAAGCATGTCGATGCAAGCTCCATCCAACACGAATGAGTAGTTAATAAAGCTAAGTTCAGCTCCTCTCTGTAAAGGGTAACGGTCGACATCGACCGAATCAACCAGAACTCACGAAGCTTCAATGCTTACCGTTGCTCAGAACAGGCATCAAAATACTTATTTCGATGTTTTATGTTTAATGTTTGACATGAGTACCAATATCACCCATATTTAGTAGTAGGGAACCCGAGGGGAGCCTATCCTCGCGCTCCTTTAGTTCGTCCAAATATCAACTATCCCTATGCAGACAACTGGTGGTCCTCATGGCGTTGTCGTACCCTTCCACATCCGAAGACTCATTCACAGATCGTATCAGGATCTTTAGCCTTCCTCAAGAACGACGAAGCGCTATCGTCTAGAGAGTATCCACATTTTAATACTACCTCGAGGTAATGGTGAAGACATCGGATGCAGTCAACGACTCTCGCTAACTAGAAATCACAGGGCCAACCCGTGCTAAAACCCATTGATTCTATTTTACCTCTATCATACAAAAAGCAGGGCGAAAGAATCAATTGGCCCGCCTAAATAAGACTAGCACATTTGAAAAACCATACAGATGGTCCACTATCGCGACAGGCAAGCTTGCCATCAATAGGCATGAGGCCGATCAGCATTACCTGCCAGAGCCCTGGTGACTCATGAGACCGCAAAATGAGGAATTAGGACTAGGACCAGGATAACCTGTCGGGTCAGACACGTACCCAAGAATGAAAAGGGAATAAACAGACGGGACAGAGGAGTTTATAAATAGAGCTTCACGGAATGAATTTGCACAATGAAGAGATGACTAGCGGTGCCGGAGGGACCAGTAAGGACTAGAAATTACATGTGTGCGTTAATGCTCGAGGTTACCAGATTGGTACTCGATTAGAGCCTTTCGAAACTTCTCTGGATCTGACCAGAGCGCTGCTGCTAGGTTGTTCATCGGACTCCTGTTATTTGGCTCTGTGTGAAAAAGGACACAAAGAAAGCGGTGCAGTAGAACTGAGAAAAATAGCAGATATTGCAAATTGTCAGGATAAGGAAAGCAAGTGGCACGGTTATACTTCATCAGTGAAAGCGACCCGATCCCTGATTTGACGCTTTCTTTAACTTTTACCAGATAGGCTGAACAGAAGGGTCTGGTTTGGCGTAGTATTCACTCCGTGATACCATAAACCCAGACCTTAGTACCCAACAATGTGTCATCCTTGAAGTTCTAAATGTACGCTGGACAATATCACAAGAAATGAACGACTCACCATATTTAAAAAAGAACCAACGAACAAAAAATGCCCGAATTGGCACCCAAAACCTCATTGCATAAGTTAATTACTCCAAACACTAACAACTGTAGGACGATGAGAGTAAAGCTTTAGAGTCACAAATAGGGATAGGGAATCAGTATAATAAAAGATACTCAAATGAAATCAACAGCTAAAACCACTCAATTTGATAGATGAAGCACTAGGAACGAAAGAACTTACCACCGAGGAGACTTCGAATCGACAGAAGAATACTCTTCACAGTGTAGAGGGCTGACCACTCCTCTCTCAGGATGTCCAAACAGATATTGCCAATAGCGTCGACGTTTGGATGAAAGCAGCGTGATATAAAACGGACGACTGGAGGCTTATAGGGATACGAGCTTCCGAACTCCAAGGAGAGTTTGTAAACTTCCCCTTCGTATACCTAAAACACCAGACTGTAATACAAGACCGCACAATGGCCAAATATTAGGTTAAATCGAGTGAAGAAATACAGTTTTTTCCGGTCCATGGATTGTAGCTAACCACTTCATGATGTTATCATTCTCGGGAAACCCTGAAACCCCGGACTCTTCCGAGGTCTAAAGCAATGGATCAGTCAAGTAAGAAATAACCACCATTAGCTCCATTAGTTCGATTTGGAGTCTAAAAGGATTAGCGCACTTATATAAATACCTTCTAGTCACGTTATCAGCAGCCATAATTCAGAATATTACCATAATCTACAATAGAAAATGTCAAAAGAAGTAAAAATTGGCTCAAAAACCAAAGTGAGACAATCACGAATTAAAATGGTACGGCAAAAGGGTGCAACAAAGAAAGTGATACGAAAAACAACTGCGAAGCCGAATGACTTCTAAAAATAAGAATCCCAGCAGCAGACCAACGAGAACACCAACACCTCCGGCGTACCCAAATATCGCGCCACTGACGAAATATCCTATGTCCCGCCCAAAGCAAAGAGGTTTTCCACCCAGACAGGTATGTTCAAAATGGATGTAGTAGGCAAATTGAACTCTTAATTCAAATGTTGAAACAACCGAAATTGTTTATCTAAGAGGGCAGGCGAAAAAATTCATAAAGTCAAAACACTGATGCTTTGATGATAAAGAAATATTAAGTTACTGTCCAGTTACAAACCGAATTTTTAAAAGCTTTAAGATTGTTAAATCTAACCTCAGGAATATGACGGAGCAGTTGCAAAACCTACACCATTTGTCCCACGCAGAACTAAATTTTCGTGGCCTATTATTGAAACAGTGTATCATATATTCATAAACGGCCACTGTGTATGCTTGTTGGCTCCAAAACAAATGACTAACCAATCATTTCATAGAGTCAGTCTTGACTGCCTTATCAATTTGGAGGTTTCAATTTGATATTTGCAAGTCATAATGGGGATTTGTCTGCTTGGGTGCTTGTCTATGTTGATTTCAACTACTATTATTAAGACGAGTAGCTAAGAATGCCACATCTTTACTGGGTCTGTGAATATGGATAATCAGCCGTTAACAATGCCCGAAGGGAACTGAAGTTTGTCTCCCTTCCCTAAGTTGTAAAATTCACTCCTTTATAACTCCAACTTGAGCAAACCATCACTTGCCTAAGTTTGGATGAAGATTAATACTCGGTACAACATTAAATGTGCGCAACATTTGGCTAGTTGCAGGTTTGTTGTTAATAGCAGCCTTTCGAATTTTATAAGTTTTATAAAATCATACTTTCGTATTGTTTATATCCCTATATTGCAACTTATCTCAATTATTGAGTCTTCCACTTTCGGCGAAATTACTTTTGCAACGCTTTGCTCTAGTGCTTCTACAAAAAAGCATTTTGATGACTATATTGTGGAGCGAGACTCCTCGGTCTCCGCGTCCCGGTTCCTAGCGTTCCTAGACAAGCCCGGTTGGTTTGCTTTGGACATCTTTATTAAAGACGACAAGATGTATAGGGAAAATACAATATTCAAGAAGGAGGGGAGCCGCAGTCACTAGGTAAGGGAGAGGGCGATCCAGTTACCAGGTTCGAATTTCCTGCTTGCCTCCTCCCTGAAAGGCCAATCCAAACAGTATAAGTATTACAACATTAGCGCTAAAATAATCGTCGCAGACTAAATGAGCCTTTTTGCAGCTTCAATGGATGATTTCTACTTTCAGGTTTTAATATTGCTAAGATGCTTATGCTGCAAGGTCATTGGTGGATGTTGGACTTTGGTGTTCGAAATTGGCAAGTAAAAAGCCGAGGTCTTGTGTGTTTTGAAACCAAAAGCTCTGAGTTAGGTGTGTCGCTACGGTTAGTTTTTTACCTTCCCTAAGTTACAGCAGGCGAGTTCTAAGCAATGATGTGTCCCTTTTTTCCTACATATCATTAGTATTCTTGAGCATTTAGACATCACTAGCATATCGGTTGAAGTAATTGGGGCAATATCTTCGTTTACCTCAAACTATGACGGCAAATGAAGCCTCAGCGCAGCCAAAAAACTCACTTGCTAGCATGGAGCTTTTGTAAGCACCTTCTTTTCCTTGAATTATTCCTAGGGCCGAAGAACAAACTATTACCATCAAGCAGTTGGAATTGAAACTCAAAAAGATTGAAGAAGAGAATGAGAGGCTAAGTATGTTTTTAAACCATTTTCGTTTTGCTAATTTGGATTGCAAAATCTAAGCCCTCTCATCCAAGATAAGTTTTGGTATCTGGACTTTGTACGGTTCCAATCTTTGACTGCTTATTCGGTGCTTTAGTTGAGAAACAAAAGGCGCAGGAAGAGGACTTGTCTAGGAGAGAGACAGATGTGATTCGACGTTTCATTGTTAGTAACGTTCGGTTGGCTCATGTCTTGTCGGTCTTGGTAGGTTATTATCCTCTGCTGATAGGGAAATAAGGTTTTTTTTCTTTTGATCCACACGTATTTGTATTTGCTGCCACTTTTACAGCCCAGCAAACTGCGCCGAAAATCATCTGGTTCTGAGTTTGATTACGATGGCGCGGATGATCCTGCCGATGATTATGGGGAGGCGGTAGGATCCGTGCAAGTCAAAGAACTAATCCATCGACTAAATGTTCTCGACCCTGCCATTGATTTCGTGTATCAGAAGGCTTGCGAAGCCGCACAGTCGGGTAAAATGCGTCTCCAACAGAGTTATGATGATCTCATTGCTTGGAAGTTTACTCCTGACAGGTATTTTTCCCTTTCCTCCCGCGTATTAATTGTGATTTTTCTTCATGCTCACTAATCGACTGCTAATGTTCTGTTTTACCGTGAATTTGTTGGTAGACGAATTTTATTCGTTCTAATTAGATAGTAATACCAACTTGAGCGTCTCAACGCAAAATGCAATTTCAAATTTTTTTTTCTGGAGACACATGAAAGGCATCGTAGTAGTCTTTCATTCACCTGTGATTTCACCACCAAATACTTAGGCGAGATCGCGTTCTCATTACGCGCCTTTTTGAAGCAACTTTATGGTTTGTATATCCGGAATAATTTTTGAAATTTCTTCGGTGCACACTGATATACGTCGTGGCTCACTTGAAAGCTTGAAGAAGGGGTCTTAACACTACCACAGTGCTCATCAAAATATCTTCCTGCTTGGATAACTCATTCTCCCCAAAAAAGTGTTTTTTTCTGTTCAGGCAAGCAACTTTGGTCCTTAAAACGAACCTCATGAAAGTTTCAACCTGTGTCCATAAAATTTAACAAAGTTGAGTGTGTAGCTTCAAATTTGCTTGGGTATTGACGTTAGAATTCGACGCGGTCGGTGTTCTATCACCGTTAGGTTTTATAAATGAGATTTAGTCTAAAAGCAACAGAGGGTAAATGGCTTGACCAAATGATGCTGAAACGACACCTTTACCCTAGTTATGACTTTTAAGCCATGCAATCCCTCCTTGTTAACCATTATCTCATACCATCTAATTATCAAACGATGATCGACCACCTTCGACCACGATTTCGTTTGCCGCCTTCAGGAGCATAATGAAGGCTTTAACTCGATCATCGTTGATTTGACCATTTTATACTTTCCAAATCGTTTACTTTTAAGTTTGTTTTTAGCGCTAACTTCTCCTTACGAAG